ACTATCATTTATTGAGGGGACTTTAAATGTCAACCATATAAATGACGCGTATTAACTGTCATTTATGGGCTAAAATAACTATCATTTGTTTCTTTTTGTAGTAGTGTGAGTATGGACTTTTTTCAAGGGAAAGTCTATGGAGCACTCTAAGTAAAGTTGGTTTTCCACCCAAGCAATCTCAAGCAAGGTTTTAAATCAAAATCTAAAAATACGAACCATTTTTCAACATTAACTATGGGTTGTTATTTTTTTTTCTTATTTGAAAATTGCTAACCCAAAAACATTATACTAAAAAAGGTTTAGGATACCAATTGTTCCTTCAGAAAACTTCCAAAGTAACATTGCTCTAACCCCAGTCAAGATTGTTCAGCTAACTATCAATGTTAGTCAAATGTTGTTAAAGGGCAAAATTACACTATTTTTGAAACTACTATTCTGAGGTAATATTGCGCTGATTAAAAGATAAATATACTAGTTGTATCTCATGAAAAACTTTCAAGACAAATTTTCCCTTCAACCTAGGTTTTTTGCCATAGTGTCAAAGTTATAAACCTCCTTAATTCTTACAACAAAAGAATCTTTATCATCTCTTCCATGATGTAATTGCTGAAAAAGCAACAATTTTTTGAAGAAACTAGAATGTCTCAATTACTTTGTATATAGGTAAAGGTTAGCCCTACTAATTGCTTTGCTAGGAAAGCTCTTGAGATTACTAATAATTATTGTTACTTTGATCTTCCCCACCTTTAGTAGGATAGAGTTGATGTCCAGTGTATTGTTACAAGTCATGATCTATCCCCTTTGTTTTGTGTAACTTGCTGTTTTCAACCCAATTTTGAATATTTGAATGACAAAATGGTATCTCATGCTTCCAAATATATTTATACTCTAATTCAAACTAGTTGTGTTTGGTTTGACACAATTTTATTTATTAAAAAAATTAGGATCCCAATTGTATTGCTTTTTATTTTAATGATTTTTAAATGAAATGGTAATCCATTTAGATTAGTCCTATGATTACCAGAGGTTTTGGTTGAGTATTAGTTTAATAAGGTGATAAGACACATTATTTTCACACATTTATTAGCTTAAAGAGACCATTTTACATGCCTAAATAAGTGTTCATATGCATTCATATCACATTTTTAGTACAAATTAGCCCAAGTGTTGAATTATATGCATTAAGAGTATTTTGGTAATAAAATGCACCTTTTTTACAAATGTGAGGTTAAACTTGGTAATTATGTCTTTTAATGTGCTAAGATGATTGGTCAAATTAGTTTTTATTGATTCATCTTAAGTTGAGAGTTTTTAAGAAGAGACACACTTTAAGGTTATCTCTCTAAGGAGTTTTCATTTAACTTTTGATTCTAGTTCAAGTGTGTACTTGCCTACATTTGTGTCTTATGAGATATTTACATTCATATTCCCTCAGTCACTTTAATACCTAGGTTGAATTAAATTTTTCTATTCGAGTCCAATTAAATAAATGTCACACAATGATAAATTGATTATGTGATTCAATTGTGACTTAGGTGAATTAATGTAATAATTGAAGATATAATTTAAGGCAGCCAAAGAAGGTTCTAAAGGGAAAAAGTGGCATCACATACACATATTTGAAAGGGTACAAATTAGGATTAGAATAGTACATTGTATTAGATCAAGTCTAACATTGGAATTGTCACCATTTCCCTTAAAATTTAGAGGTAGTTTCAACCATGTGGACATTTGGTTGAAGACTACAACCACTTGACAAGTTTTCATCACTTTCTATCATTTTTCATTAAGCCAATTCCATGCCTTAAGCTCTTAGTTCAAATTCTCTCTCAATTTTCCCATCTTTAAATTTTTCTCTCACTTTCTCACTTGTTCATCCATTTACTCACCCAATCCATTACTCATATCTCTCTCATTTCTTCACCAAATTACACAAGACCACTCTTATTATCTTCCTTATTCTAATTTCATCTTATCCATAGATCTAATTAAGGATTCAAGCTCTCAAATCACCAACAAAGAAGACAAAAAGGCAAGGCCTTGTTGCATTTTACCTTGAAGCTTTAAAGATGATGATAAGAGGCCAAATTTCTAAAGGAATCCTAGAGGGGTGATGGATGGAAAATGAATCAAAGCGTTACACATGGCTAAAACTTTCTATTCTCTTAGTTTTTCTCATTTGAATTGATGATTAATTCCTTAGTCCAATTTTAATTCGTCGTGGGTTTACATTTCTAGTTGAATTTATATTGATGTAATAAGAAATACTTGTTTGGTTGATAATATTCTTTTGATACTTATGGTTTAATTTAGTCATCATGAGTAAAATGCATAGTTTTGTATTTTACTATTGATGATTGTCTTGCTTTACTCTTACATAGTTTTGTAAATAAGGTTAAGACACAAAATAAGACTTTACATAATTTATGGTTCACTCTAAAACCAAACTAGGAAGATAACCTAAGGACATTGGTTAATGACTTAGGGAATAAGACTAGTTAGGTTAAATTTTCTAGGATAGTTATCATAGAAAGCATAATTCGTCTAAGAGGAGAGTGATTAACACTAAAGCCACAATTAATGAGAAAGATAATATAATTCTTCCACAATCTAAACTCCAAGATTCCATTTCATTAAAATGAAATCCACTTCACTTACACACTTGGGAAATTTGTCCACTTGATAACCTCATAGTGGAATTAAGCTACTCACTAGAGAGATGACTTATGAGAGACCATGTATTTCTGAGGGTTACACCAGTAACGGGAATTGGGAGGTTGATTAGAGCTTAGAAGTTGACTCCTCGATTCATTGGTCCTTTCAAGATTTTAGGAAGGATTGGACTAGTTGCTTATAAAATTGCTCTATCACCACAGTTTTTTAGTGTGCATGCCATGTATCACAACTTAAGAAATATCAACCTAATCCTTCACATGTGATAGAACCGGAGGAGATTGAACTCCAAGAGAAGTTGACCTTTATGACTGAGCCAAAGCAAATGCTAGATGTGAAAGAGAAGGAGTTGAGGAACAAGACTATATGATTGGTTAAGGTTTTCTAGTAAAGCATGGCTCTTAGTGATGCTACCTAAGAGGCAAAGGATAGAATGAGGCAACAGTATCCTTACCTATTTCCTTAGGTATGTATTTATGTGCTTTATAAATTTTGAGAGTAAATTCTTAAAAGGAGAGGAGAATTGTAACATCCTGAATTTTTTTAATCTTGTGATTAGTTGCTAACTGAGGGTAAAGTGGTAATTAGTATGAAAATAAAGATTTGGATAATTACTTGATAGTGTGACTCGTTGAGATGTTAAATGAACAGATACGGGTAGAAGGAGTGCATTAGGGGTTAAAGCAAATGCGCGTGGTAAGAATTAATATCACTGTCCTACACGCCACGACTTGTATTGCATGCTTCGCGACACATAGACCAAAACATGGCTTCTTAAGTCATGAAATTTGAGAAATTTCAGAGGAGAGAAATTGAGAACACACGAGAGAGAGAAGAGAAAAAGTGTTGATCAGCTAGGGCAAGCTATTTCAGGTCATTGGAAGGTGCTTCGAATCGATAACTTAGCAAGTAAGCTATATATAACTCTTACCTTCCATTCTACACATATTTTTCTAAAAATGAGTTATAGAAAATTGAATCAGTGGAGTTAAAGGTTCTCGAAAGTTAAATTAGAGTTTTGTGACTGGTTTAAACCTAAACGGTAGAGCTTTGAACCCGTAGGCTTAGTTTTGGCCCTAAGAGAGAGAGATTCTAGGGCAAAATTGTGTTTAGACAAAGTAAGACCAATTGAGTAATGTAAAATAGTAATCGAGTAGTAATAGACCTAGAATGAATACATGAAAAAGAATTTACAGTTAAATATAGCTCTAAGTAGTAAATATGTATTTTTGATAAAAATCGACCTAATGACTAAAATGTGCCAAGTGTGGTTAGATTGGCATATTCTTCATGTGAGTTGAGAAAGGAAGCTTCTGATAAGCTGTTGTAGTAGTTGAAATCCACGGGTAACCTCTCTAGTTACAGAAGAGTTGAAGTAATCGAATAACTTCTTTGTTTAACTGTTTATTGTAACTGTGTGTAAGTTTGCTATGTAATACATGAAACTATTTTGAACTAAGCATATCTTATAGCATTGCATGGTTGTTGCATGAAATGACTTGTGATTGAAATAAAGCATTGAAATATATGATTTCAAATGATATGTAATATATATTTATATATATAGAAGTTATGTGTAAGAAAGTATATATAGTGGTGATTTAGAACTTATGTGGTTCGGAAAGCATGATCATAAGGGTGGGAGTTCACTTCAGTGGAGAAGAGGTGATAAGACCATATGGCATATTCTCCTTAATGCCCGACGGAGTGCGGTGTTCAAGAACTATACCTTCTTGGTACCTTTTAAGGTGCAACGTTGGAGAAGATCTCCTTACTGTCTATTAAGATGCAGTGTTAGAGATATCAGACTCCTTAGTGTCTGTGTGATACGATGTTGAAGTCAACGACATCCCATCGTATCTATTGGAAAAAACTATAGTCTAAAAATGAGATAGAAAACCTTTGGGCCAAGTGATTCTATTAATAAACGCGAGCTCAGGGCCAATGATATTGTACATTGGTCTAAGGCTAACCTATAATTTCGTGTCAGGGTGATTTGAAGGTTCGATGGACAGTGATCATACTATGAAATGCTATGTAATATAATATGTTGCACATGTAAATTTTGGCTAACTTTAATTTTGACCTCAACCAACTTGAATTTTGCGTGAATTCATGTTTATAAATTAATTTTGCGCAAATCATAACTTTAACAAACTCAAAATCGAACAGGCAAAGAGATTTTTTTAATAATTAAAATTGTTTGCTTATTTAAAAAAAATTGATTAAAAATTAAATTAGATTTATTCCTTAACAATACAACAATAATTTAGCAAAACCGCGGGTAATTTAGATGAATTTACACGTGTGGATAGAAATGTGAGATTACGGTAGAAACAGATGGATAGCCCCTGTCATCTATTGAGCATCTCAACAATGGCTTCTATCCCCTTCTGTACTGCCCACCAAACCATTTCTTCCAAACCCCTCGCTTCCCCTGTCTCCTTCGCAAAATTGGATTCTCGGTTTCTCGCTTTTACAACCAAAGTCGGTTCCCTCAAACTCACCTCTGGAATTGGACCCTCCAATGGCTCCAGAGCCAGGTGCTGGTTCAAATTCGGTAAAAACGGCGTCGATGCTGAAGGAGCTGGAATTTATGGCAGCCAATCCCGCGATGATTTCGATAAAGATGACGTTGAACAAGTGAGCACCCCAGAATTCTTCCGATTTTGATTGCTCTATCTGGTTTTGTGTCGCTGGCTCTGGCTTATATGGAAATGATTTCATAGATAGTCATCGTTTTGATATTTTAGGTATTCATAGATGAGTACTGACTGAGTAAGGAAAATGATGTTGGTTGTATAGAAATTTTATGGTTGTGCTTCTGCTAGGCGAAGGGTTCTTCATTGCTGGCTTGCCGATTTGCATTATGTGAGATTATCATGTGAAAATAATCTCGTTTTGCTTTACAAGCTTGTGTAGCATGCGGAAAGATCAGGCGGGAACCTGCGATTATTTTCGCTGAATAAGTTATAGATAAATAAGGATAATTTTGATCACTTAGATTTTTTTTTCTTTTTTTTTTTTTTGTTCCCTGCACAAATGGAGGATTATGCATTGGTGACATGCAGTATTGGGATTGTGAGAGATTAAGCGTGAACAATCTCTTTTTTTTTTTTTCAATTTCATGTGAAATGCAGGAGGAAAAGTTGTAGTCTGTAGTCCTGAAAAACATGTTCATGCTTCTATATCAGAGTAGGTTTATATCTAGAATTGGATGAATTAGCTCTGTTTTCTGGAAATAACTGGGAAAAAAATAAAAGGAAATGCCATAGATATATATAATGGAGGACGCACAGCCACACCACTGAAGATAGATCAGTATTTTTTATCTTGTTTATCCGCCTGCTGTAGAGCTGGACGTTTTAGGATTTTAGGTTGGGATTTGATATGAATCTGAGATCAATGCATCCTCAAATCTCTTGTCCTCTTCCCAACCTATGCTACATAATAAATCGAGAACATTTATAGCCAAGTTATTGAAATTATTCAATCTTTTGCGTCGATTTTGGATGGGATTGTATATATGAAACAATTAGCATGCATGTAGATTTTTTCCTTTCTTAATATTTTTCACTACAATTCTCTTAAATCAGTGCTGTCCATCTACACTCCTCCATATACGCTGTACTGAAAACAAAGATGTTTATCAGGGTCTTCCTAGTCACTGACTTTTCTACTTGTTCTGTAGTCATTTTTGTAGTGTTCCATTTGATATGATAGTGATAAGAACTTAATTATAACATCTCGGATGTTATCTTTCCCAGTACTTCAACTACATGGGCATGCTTGCTGTTGAGGGATCATACTCTAAAATGGAGGCTCTTTTAAGTCAGGACATCCACCCAGTGGATATCTTGCTTATGCTAGCTGCCTCGGAGGGTGACAAGCCGAAACTGGAGGAACTCTTAAGAGCTGGAGCCAAGTATGATGTCAAAGATGCAGAAGGACGAACGGCGCTTGATAGGGCCAACGATGAAATAAGAGATTTCATTCTTAGTTTTTCAGTCCAGAAGGCATGAATAGCTTGTTCTCTGTGTCACATAGCTATTTATATTGTGTCATTCCAACTTTGCTATATAACTTTGTATCATTGAACCCAATCATTAATTAGTCTACAAGTTATGAGGATATGGTTGGCCTAACTATTTCAATCTAAAAATTACGACTCCCTTCGTTCTTTGTATCAGGTAGAAGTCTTGTTTGGTGCTTACTTTGTATAATTTAATGAAGCATTTACGAATTATTTTTAAAAATATAAGTTAATAATTATATGATTAAGGTATAAATCTGCTCTTTTAATATTTTTCTTGGTGCGTTCATCATTTCTGAAATCCTGAAATTGGAACAATGTTACTCAATTTGTTAAACTTTTTGTCAATTTGAAAGTTTGAATGCTCATAAATAAGGAAAATTGTTAAAGCACAAATAAGTACTTTAACAAGTAAATTTATTGTAAAAAAAATTATTAGCCTCCAAAAATTACAAATAAATGCCAAAGAATTAGTATAATCTTTTACATATACAAAATACCAAAATGTAATTTAAAAAAAAAAAACCTTAAAAGGGCAAGTAAGTGTACCTAAGGTTAAGAGCAAGATAGAGCCCACAATCTTCCATTTAGAGAAGATTAGAAGTGCTGACAATGCTATTAGGTTACAAGGCTATTGGCACCAAAAATATCATTGTGAATAATCATTTTTTACCAATTTGATCTCCTATGAGCCAATCATCAAATCATTGTAGCATGTGAATGTGCTAATAAGAAATTAAAATTCTTAATTTTATTTTAATAATATTTTATTAAAATATTAATATTTTAATATTTAATAACTTAAATATAATTATTACTTACAAAGTTCAATATAGGAATTTTTTTATGAAACTAATGGAATTAAGGTTAAATAATTAAATTAAAAAAATACTTTATAAAATTAAAAGATCAAAATGAAATATTGCGTAAAGTTAAAAAAAATTAAAAGTGCATTTTAGCCTAATATAAAAGTTCTCTAAAATTTAGGATTCCTTCTATAAAATTTAAAACTATGTTAATATTAAAATAAAAATATTTTTAATTAATTATCACTATAAAAAAAAAGTATTTAGTGGTGGTTTAAATAGTTACAAATGACCTTAGTAGCAGTTCACCAAACTGCTACTATATAAAGTGTAGCAAGGTATATAGTACCATAGACAAAGTGCTACAAATCATGTAGCAGTTCGTATAAACTACTACGCCAAAACCAAAATGAAGTCTATTCCAAAATTTTGTCCATTAGTTTGAATTTTTGGCACAAACATGGTAACGATTCACTGAAACATTATGATATGTGAAAATTTCAGAAATTCTATTCCAAAACATGGTAACAATTCGAATAATGGTTCTTGAACCACTACCTAATTTGAAATTTTAAACTTTAAATTCATTATGCTTAACCATCATGTCGGTCTTTTTAACAAGGATAAAACTACTCCTTTTTTTATAATTTGAAGGGAAACATTACTCTACTTGCAAATTGAGGACACTAGGTGCTTCTCTGTGAATACTTCAAAGGCAAAAATGACCTTTTGCCCTTAAAAATAATGATATAGAAGATTTTATTAGGTTAAAGGGCAAAAGTACTGTAATATCTCAAAAATTATTTCCCTAATTAATTAAGCTAATGAAGGATGATTATGTAAATTTAAATATAATTGAATTTGAAAATAGTTAAAGATAACTAACTAATAGGTCTATTGGGTTTGGTTTTAGTTATTGAATTGGGTTTGAAAGTGAATTAAGCCACCTGAGATCAAATTGAAGAGAAAATCAAAATTTAGCCCACTGTGCATTATGCTGCAACATAATGCACTTACGCTGCAACATAATGTCACAAATCTAATTTAAGAAGGCATCTACATGTGTGAAAATGGAAAGAAAAAAGATGAGAACAAAGGAGCTTCTGATTCTCTTTGCTAGGGCATGATTTTGCTGGTGTTTTAGAGAGATTTAAAGCTTCTAAACATTAAAGTAAGCCTCCCCTACCACACTTCTTCCTCTCTATGCCATTTTTAAATTAGGGTTTGTAGTTGGAAAATGATTTTTGAACCTTGGGAGCCTTGGGTTCAAACCCATCAACTTAAATAGAGTTAATAAGAGTTATTTAAGTTATCTAAACCAAAAGAAAGCAGTTTTATGTGTCCATGAGAGTGGGCTCTCAATTATGAATGAATTTGTGAATTAAAGTGCCATTAGTGATAAAGGTTGGAGTTGTTGGAAGCCACTAATGATAGTATATGGGTTTAATGAAGTCAGTTAGAGCTAATGAAAGTTAATAAATCTAGTATGGTGATTAAACTCAAGAGTTGAGAGTTTTGGATAATTAAAGTGTTGAAACTTGAGAGTTGGAAGTGAGTAATTTGTGATATTGATGATGATTTTGGTTTGTTAGATGATATATTAGTGATTATTTAAGTTGAGAGCTAAATGAAGTTAATGAGAATTAATGAATTTATTGGATATGAGATTAATCATGTAGTTGAGAAAGTTAGTTATTAAAGTATAAAATTAGATGTTGGAAGTGGTGATTTTGATAATTATTAGTGATGGGTGTTAATGTTAATTATAAACTAATCTTATGAAGTACCAATAAGCTTGAATTTAACATGAAAAGAAAGTTATGATTGAGGGATAACCTTTGACTTCTTAAAGATTTGATTATTTAATTTGTGCATTTACTTGGTTAATTGACTATACGTGTGTGAAAAAATTATTTAAAAACCATGATATATTTTGTAAATCTATATTTAATATAAGTTGTGGCAATATGAATAAATTTATATGATGTGATGAAATTAATGTGAATGAAAATTGTGAAGATGTATGTTATGTATGATTATTGTTGTGAGTAGACATGAAAATGTGAACTGGTGATTATGAAAGAGGAAGATTGCAAATTTGAGATATGTGTTTAGGATGATTGTGTTGTGATATTGATAAGCATGGTATGATGATTGATGTCTAAAATTTTCATGCTACATATTGAACATTTGTGCACGGCATAATCATATGAGATAGGAGTTTATATATAAGGAGAAGAGTAGATGTTGTAAATTCACATGATATTGACGGCTTACCATTAGAATCAAAAGCTAGCTAGACTACCAACCATTGAAATCGGGGAGGTAGTCATTGTCCCATTATTATATAAAGATCATCATACTTGTTCTTTAAAAGACTCGTACCTAACTAGTCTCTACTGATTCATGAGAAGGTTAGATTAGGAGTACAACACCCCATAGTTGTTAATATTAGAAGAAACCATGTTGCACAAGTAAGTGTAGTATCCTTGGCCGGGTAGCTCCTCAGGAGTAGAAGACTTAGGAAGTCTAAGTTCATACATATAACCCACTAAATAGCCATCAGTTTCATGTCGAAGATATCAAGAGGTTATAAAGTTGGCATTGATAATGCATATCATATTCCAACCATATAATTGTTATTATTATGTTGTGACATAACTTGACAAGGGCACATGATTATTAATATTATGACCCCATATATATTTTGATGCATATCATTATATGGCCATATGGTTGTTATTTTTGTAGTCTTACATGTTTCATAAAGGGTATATGATTGTTAGAGTTGTGAACCTTCCATGCTAAATAATCTAATGTCAGATGAGTACTAGTTTTGTGACTGGATGAATTACATGTTTTAATGTGTGAATGCACTTTATTTGATTATGCTACTTGCATCACTATGATTAATTAACAAGCATTTGTATAGGCTAAATTAATCTTAGTTACTAAGTCGTTGTACTCACTCCTTATTTAACATTTTACAAATGCTAGCTCTAGTCAAGACAAGGGAAAAGCATGGTTTAGAAATCAAATTTCTCACTCTAATGCTTCAATGACTTTTGATTAATGTGTAATTATTATAATAATGCTAACTACGATAATTATTTTGATTTCTTGCATGCATATGTAATTGTTTGTTAGTGTTTTAGTGCCCTTAATCAATTTGCATGAGTTAAACATACTTCTTTAGGTTCCAAAATGCTTGTGCAAGTATGTTTAAGGTTGTTTTGAGGGTTGTAAATGAATATTTTAATAATTTGAATGATGATGACCTCCTTTTTTGCTTTTGATGAGATTGGGGTTAAGGATTAAATTTGTGAAATATGTGATATTTGGTTCTTACAGTGTGTTACATAGGTTTTCCTATGTCTATTAAGTGTGGTCTAAGTGTTGGTCTATGCTTTTAGCACTTGGTGTGAATTTTTGACACTCAAGTTGTGGTTAAGGGTGAAAAAGTGCTAGTTTGCATTTGTGTGTCTAATTTGTGATTGGGTTAGAGTTTAGTGATGAAACCAATTTCATTAGTTAGAATTTTAAAAGAGTTCTATGTGAACACTTAGATCACCTCAATTTAACATTGAATAAAAATTTGGTGCACATTAGAATTTTGGCTAAAAAACTTACCATGATAACATGTTGCTATCATGGGTTTTACATTTTACATCTTAGCATAAAATTTTATGCCGTAGCATATTCTATCAAAAATGATTTTAGTTCTTTTGACCCTAAATTGATTTATTACCTTATCTAATATGATTTTCACGCTTTTCATATATGCTTCTACTCTATTTTGGATTAGTTTATATTTGATTTCAAAGTAAGTTATTAAACTTGAGATTTCAACTTTAAAATATTTATATTTTAAAATAAAGTTATTGTTGGATTGTGAAGTAAGTATTCTAATATTTGTTTTGAAACCTTTTAAACTATAATAGATTTTGATTTGTCTTCCTTCTTACTATGGTTAGTCTTTTAATAACTGGTTGAAATATACAACTATGGTTTCGTAATTGTAAAACCGTAGTTGTCATGGAGGTTTCGGCTAAGTGCCAAGGTAATAAGGAAAATGTTACAAGTGCTCAACAAAATTTTCTCCTGGAGCACCAAGTATCCTTAAGTGAACAAAGATATAAGGGTATCCTAGAACTTGTTTTACTAAGTATAGAAATCCTCATCTCATTAAATTTAACTGATATCCATTAATGTTGACAGTTAAAAAAGGAAGCAAACATAAAGATGCAAAAATACTCATAAACTTTTTCTCCAAGAGCTTCTAACATTTTTAA